TACTTCAGTGGTAAGTCATGGTTTATATCAGTGGTAAGTCATGGTTTACATCAGTGGTAAGTCATGGTTTACAGCAGTAGTAAGTCATGGTTTACAGCAGTAGTAAGTCATGATTTACAGCAGTAGTAAGTCATGGTTTACATCAGTGGTAAGTCATGGTTTACAGCAGTAGTAAGTCATGGTTTACAGCAGTAGTAAGTCATGGTTTACAGCAGTAGTAAGTCATGGTTTACAGCAGTAGTAAGTCACGGTTTACAGCAGTACTAAGTCATGATTTACAGCAGTAGTAAGTCATGGTTTACATCAGTAGTAAGTCACGGTTTACTGCAGTGGTAAGTCATGGTTTACAGCAGTAGTAAGTCATAGTTTACAGCAGTGGTAAGTCATGGTTTACAGCAGTGGTAAGTCATGGTTTACAGCAGTAGTAAGTCATGGTTTACAGCAGTAGTAAGTCATGGTTTACATCAGTAGTAAGTCACGGTTTACAGCAGTAGTAAGTCATGGTTTACAGCAGTAGTAAGTCACGGTTTACAGCAGTAGTAAGTCATGGTTTACAGCAGTAGTAAGTCATGATTTACAGCAGTAGTAAGTCACGGTTTACAGCGGTAGTAAGTCATGGTTTACAGCAGTAGTAAGTCATGGTTTACAGCAGTAGTAAGTCACGGTTTACAGCAGTTGTAAGTCACAGTTTACAGCAGTAGTAAGTCATGGTTTACAGCAGTAGTAAGTCATGGTTTACAGCAGTAGCAAGTCACGGTTTACAGCGGTAGTAAGTCATGATTTACAGCAGTAGTAAGTAACGGTTTACAGCAGTAGTAAGTCATGGTTTACAGCAGTGGTAAGTCATGGTTTACAGCAGTGGTAAGTCATGGTTTACATCAGTTGTAAGTCATGGTTTACAGCAGTAGTAAGTCATGGTTTACAGCAGTAGTAAGTCATGGTTTACAGCAGTAGTAAGTCATGGTTTACAGCAGTGGTAAGTCATTGTTTACAGCAGTGGTAAGTCATGGTTTACAGCATTAGTAAGTCATGGTTTACAGCAGTGGTAAGTCATTGTTTACAGCAGTAGTAAGTCATGGTTTACAGCAGTAGTAAGTCATGGTTTACAGCAGTAGTAAGTCATTGTTTACATCAGTAGTAAGTCATGGTTTACAGCAGTAGTAAGTCATGGTTTACATCAGTAGTAAGTCATGGTTTACATCAGTAATAAGTCATGGTTTACAGCAGTAGTAAGTCATGGTTTACAGCAGTAGTAAGTCATGGTTTACAGCAGTAGTAAGTCATGGTTTACAGCAGTGGTAAGTCATGGTTTACAGCAGTAGTAAGTCATGGTTTACAGCAGTTGTAAGTCATGGTTTACAGCAGTAGTAATCATGGTTTACAGCAGTAGTAAGTCATGGTTTACAGCAGTTGTAAGTCATGGTTTACAGCAGTAGTAAGTCATGGTTTACAGCAGTAGTAAGTCATGGTTTACAGCAGTAGTAAGTCATGGTTTACATCAGTAGTAAGTCATGGTTTACATCAGTAGTAAGTCATGGTTTACAGCAGTAGTAAGTCATGGTTTACAGCAGTTGTAAGTCATGGTTTACAGCAGTAGTAAGTCATGGTTTACAGCAGTAGTAAGTCATGGTTTACAGCAGTTGTAAGTCATGATTTACAGCAGTAGTAAGTCGTGGTTTACAGCAGTAGTAAGTCATGGTTTACAGCAGTAGTAAGTCATGGTTTACAGCAGTAGTAAGTCATGGTTTACAGCAGTGGTAAGTCATGGTTTACATCAGTGGTAAGTCATGGTTTACATCAGTGGTAAGTCATGGTTTACAGCAATAGTAAGTCATGGTTTACAGCAGTGGTAAGTCATGGTTTACAGCAGTGGTAAATCATGGTTTACATCAGTGGTAAGTCATGGTTTACATCAGTGGTAAGTCATGGTTTACAGCAGTAGTAAATCATGGTTTACATCAGTGGTAAGTCATGGTTTACATCAGTAGTAAGTCATGGTTTACAGCAGTAGTAGGTCATGGTTTACATCAGTGGTAAGTCATGGTTTACAGCAGTAGTAAGTCATGGTTTACAGCAGTAGTAAGTCATGGTTTACAGCAGTAGTAAGTCATGGTTTACAGCAGTGGTAAGTCATGGTTTACAGCAGTGGTAAGTCATGGTTTACGGCAGTAGTAAGTGATGGTTTACATCTTTGGTAAGTCATGGTTTACAGCAGTGGTAAGTCATGGTTTACGGCAGTAGTAAGTCATGGTTTACATCAGTGGTAAGTCATGGTTTACAGCAGTAGTAAATCATGGTTTACATCAGTGGTAAGTCATGGTTTACAGCAGTAGTAAGTCATGGTTTACAGCAGTAGTAAGTCATGGTTTACAGCAGTAGTAAGTCATGGTTTACAGCAGTAGTAAGTCATGGTTTACAGCAGTAGTAAGACATGGTTTACAGCAGTAGTAAGTCATGGTTTACAGCAGTAGTAAGACATGGTTTAGAGCAGTAGTAAGTCATGGTTTACAGCAGTAGTAAGTCATGGTTTACAGCAGTAGTAAGTCATGGTTTACAGCAGTAGTAAGTCATGGTTTACAGCAGTAGTAAGGCATGATTTACAGCAGTAGTAAGTCATGGTTTACAGCAGTAGTAAGTCATGGTTTACAGCAGTGGTAAGTCATGGTTTACAGCAGTAGTAAGACATGGTTTACAGCAGTGGTAAGACATGGTTTACAGCAGTGGTAAGTCATGGTTTACAACAGTATTAAGTCATGGTTTACAGTAGTGGTAAGTCATGGTTTACAGCAGTAGTAAGTCATGGTTTACAGCAGTAGTGAGTCATGGTTTACAGCAGTAGTAAGTCATGGTTTACAGCAGTAGTAAGTCATGGTTTACAGCAGTGGTAAGTCATGGTTTACAGCAGTAGTAAGTCATGGTTTACATCAGTGGTAAGTCATGGTTTACAGCAGTAGTAAGTCATGTTTTACAGCAGTAGTAAGTCATGGTTTACAGCAGTAGTAAGTCATGGTTTACAGCAGTGGTAAGTCATGGTTTACAGCAGTAGTAAGTCATGGTTTACAGCAGTAGTAAGTCATGGTTTACAGCAGTAGTAAGTCATGGTTTACAGCAGTAGTAAGTCATGGTTTACAGCAGTAGTAAGTCATGGTTTACAGCAGTAGTAAGTCATGGTTTACAGCAGTAGTAAGTCATGGTTTACAGCAGTATAAGTCATGGTTTACAGCAGTAGTAAGTCATGGTTTACAGCAGTAGTAAGTCATGGTTTACAGCAGTAGTAAGTCATGGTTTACAGCAGTGGTAATCATGGTTTACAGCAGTAGTAAGTCATGGTTTACAGCAGTAGTAAGTCATGGTTTACAGCAGTAGTAAGTCATGGTTTACAACAGTAGTAAGTCATGGTTTACAGCAGTAGTAAGTCATGGTTTACAGCAGTAGTAAGTCATGGTTTACAGCAGTAGTAAGTCATGGTTTACAAACATTGGTAAGTCATGGTTTACAGCAGTGGTAAGTCATGGTTTACAGCAGTAGTAAGTCATGGTTTTCAGCAGTAGTAAGTCATGGTTTACAGCAGTGGTTAAGTCATGTTTACAGCAGTGGGAAGTCATGTTTACAGCATATAAGTCATGGTTTACAGCAGTAGTAAGTCATGGTTTAAACAGTAGTAAGTCATGGTTTACAGCAGTAGTAAGTCATGGTTTACAGCAGTAGTAAGTCATGGTTTACAGCAGTAGTAAATCATGGTTTACAGCAGTAGTAAGTCATGGTTTACAGCAGTAGTAAGTCATGGTTTACAGCAGTAGTAATCATGGTTTACAGCAGTAGTAAGTCATGGTTTACAGCAGTAGTAAGTCATGGTTTAACTAATACTTACCAGGAACACTGAAGAACATATACATGGTTAATATCAAAAATTCTTGCTGGTTATATTAATTACGAATCATAGCATTAAATAACAAATTGTTAAGACTTACATAATATAATCTTATAAAGCAGATATATAATAATCTCAATACTAAGAGTGGATTATTTAGATAACAAAACTGTGGAGTGGGAATACACGAGACATGGAATGTTAAACACTATGAGTGATATATTAAATGTTTATAGTGAGATGATACTTGGAAGGTTGAGTTATTTGTTCACTTTATAGTGAGATTATACTTGGAAGGTTGAGTTATTTTTCACTTTATAGTGAGATGATACTTGGAAGGTTGAGTTATTTGTTCACTTTATAGTGAGATATACTTGGAAGGTTGAGTTATTTGTTCACTTTATAGTGAGATGATACTTGAAAGGTTGATTTTGTTCACTTTATAGTGAGATGATACTTGGAAGGTTGAGTTATTTGTTCACTTTATAGTGAGATGATACTTGGAGGTTGAGTTATTTGTTCACTTTATAGTGAGATGATACTTGGAAGGTTGAGTTATTTGTTCACTTTATAGTGAGATGATACTTGGAAGGTTGAGCTATTTTTTGACTTTATAGTGAGATGATATACTGGAAGGTTGAGTTATTTGTTCACTTTATAGTGAGATGATACTTGGAGGGTTGAGTTATTTGTTCACTTTATAGTGAGATGATACTTGGAAGGTTGAGTTATTTGTTCACTTTATAGTGAGATGATACTTGGAAGGTTGAGCTATTTGTTGACTTTATAGTGAGATGATACTTGGAAGGTTGAGTTATTTGTTCACTTTATAGTGAGATGATACTTGGAGGGTTGAGTTATTTGTTCACTTTATAGTGAGATGATACTTGGAAGGTTGAGTTATTTGTTCATTTTATAGTGAGATGATACTTGGAAGGTTGAGTTATTTGTTCACTTTATAGTGAGATGATACTTGGAAGGTTGAGTTATTTTGTTCACTTTATAGTGAGATGATACTTGGAAGTTGAGTTATTTGTTCACTTTATAGTGAGATGATACTTGGAAGGTTGAGTTATTTGTTCACTTTATAGTGAGATGATACTTGGAAGGTTGAGTTATTTGTTCACTTTAGAGACGTGCACGAATACTTGCCTAATTAAAACTACTAAGTTTGGTACCTTTAAAAATATAGGACCTTAAAATTATTGCATAATGCTCACAATAATATTGGAAAAATCTACAAGTTCAGAGAAACTTGTTATTGTGAAGAAGTGTTTGAGCGTAGAGCTTGATTAAGCTTGATTAAGCTCGGTATACAATAAAAAGTTTTCACAGTAACAAGCGTCTGTTCACCCCTTTTCATTATTCAATACATTTTAAAGGCCAGTAGTCCTAAGAACCTTAAATAGCTCTAAATCCAACCATATTTTATTCACTGGGAAGCTCTAAACCCGTAGTATTTAGTAAATGAGTAAAATTAACATCCTTGTGTTGGTACATGACTAAAACATATAGAAAATTTAGAGAACGTGAAGGATTTCAAAGAGTAAAGCAAAGTTTTCAACAATGGATTTCGAAGCCATCAGTGAGAGTGTAGGTCATTTTGGCAGATACCAGAAATTCGTGTTTGGTCTAGGATGTATAGCACTCTTCGTTCCTGCCATGCAAGTGCTCTCCATGACGTTTGTCGCCAGTCCTGTCAAATACAGGTAAGTCACTCTTCTTTAATATTAATTTATGTATTTAGTGAAAAATAGGCATAATTGGTCAGTTAGCAAGAACTCATTTAAAACAAAGTCCTATCTAATATATATATATATATATATATATAATTATATATATATATATATATTAATATAAAATATCAAAATATATATATAATATATATATATATAAATATATATATATATATATATATAAAAATATATATAATATATATATATAAAATAATATTTAAATATATGAAGCTTCAGCTTCAAGTCTAGGTTAAAACTCCTGCTCAAAAGTCCCAGCTCCAGCTCGGACAGGTTTCCCCAAATATTATGACCCAGGTATTCAAGGCCTTTTAATCCGGGGCATAAAGGGGAGCAAGGAGGGGAAGGAACACAGCTGAATGACTGTGAATTAAATTTCCTTCACCAAGTGTGATTATAAGTATTTACATGTATGTACACTATATACAGTGGAAATATGTGTAAAAACACGGTAAATCAAAAGGTAAAGACATTGCCTTGAACAGAATGGAAAACCGTGCTCGACCAGCAGCTGGGTGAAAATGACAAGGTGAGAATGTGAGTGGTATCCACGTCACCTCCACAATTACCAATCCACAATATGATTGGCTGAAAACCCAGGAACTGATCTGACGATGGGCCCCTGATCGTCCGACTCTTAGTTACCTGGTTCGCTGGTTGCTGGGGGCAGCCTATATAAGTGTGTTTTAAAACACTCCGAAAAAGGTTACACACTCTTTGCATGCAACAATCACATTTTTTCATGACCACCAACTCCATTTCATGAAAACTATTATCTAAGAACATTTTTGGACTAACACTATGATAACAGAATGCACACATTTTTTTTTCACATTCCCTCAAAACACTATAACCATAACAAACCCCTTTCATACACATTCCCTCAAAACACTTTAACCAAAAACACTATTACTAAGATCATTTAGGACATGACCACCAAAACTAAGATCACTCATCCCCAAAACCACTAAGTTCACTCTTCTGAAAATCACTAAGACAATTAAAACTAAGATCATCAACACCACTGACACCCATTTTTTATACACATTTCCTCAAAATACTTTAACAAAGACACTTTTGCTAGCTCACTTACGACAAGATCATTAAAGCAACCGTCTCAGCTCCCGATACAGTTTAGGGAAATATGTGGCATCTGTAGGGTGTCCTCACCTGACCAATGACTGCTTGGGTAAACTGAAGAGAGGTGAACTACAGAACCTCGGTGCCCCAAAATGTGGCAAGAGTCATCATACCACCTTTAGATGCTTCACTGTGTCGGGACAGTAATGGAAACACCCCGGTTATCCAGCCTGCGTTATAAAGTAAAGCCCTAACCACTGAGCAATAGCCTCGTCCAGAGGAGACTAACAGTAATACGGAATTCAGGGCCACTTCCCCAGCCGCAGCGATGAAGGAAACTGAGGAAGCATCACGAGGGGGTCGTGCCCTTGCTCAGCTATCATATGATACTTCCTGCCTGACCTACCCGACAACAGCAGCCAACGGACCCCATGATTCATGAAAAGACTACAGACAAACGTGCCCATCTGTATCACCGCACAGTTACCAAGGAAGAGCACTGTAACCAGAGGAACAGAGCAAGCAAACACGTGTTCCCCAGAGCCATCAAATGAATGTCGACACTCACGTGAATTACTGATATATGCGATCAGATAGGCTCAGAAGAAAACAAAGAGACATTCAGAACTGTTCTAAAGACCTTCATGAATATATGCATGATGAACAAAACAGAATTCTTGGTTATTTGTAAATTTACCTGACCATCCAACATAGGGCTCAGAGACAAACATGGAGGGGGCCAGAGTACCTCACCCCACTGTAGTACATAAAATGTTTTGCTGTGAAACGCATAGAAACTATAAAAAGACCATGACAGCGCCACAAAAACAGCTAAATTAAATGAACATCTCCTTCGAGTACCTCAGACGGGTCATCATAGGATTAAGACCTGTGTCAGGACGCAGCTCTTGACGAATCAATCAAATAACAACCATCGTATGTCAGTGTGATTTGTAAATGGTGCAAGTCTGACTGAAACATCACCATAAGCTTCTTTCCTCTATGAGCCGTTATTTGTACATTGTAGATTTTAGAAATATAACTTTGCATAATTCTGCAAACATTACTTGAAGAGATAGAGAATATTACACTTATGTACAGCATGCCGGTATTTATTTTAATGCCATATTTAATTAATATATAACATTATTTTCCCAGATGTGTGGTGCCAAACTGTGATGACAACAGTACCCATTACGAGGAGAACTTTACTGAGTGGCCATCCCAGAGGGTGACCAGTGTCATGTCTGGACACTCAACAACAATATTACTGAACAATGTCAACCAGATGTATTTTCCAACTCAACTTCATCTTGCTCACAGTGGGTTTATGACACCTCAGTGTTCTCTGCAACTACTGTCACTCAGGTTTTTCAGAGTGTATGCTGTATTTATTTTGTATAATTAATGCAGTTTTTTTCTTAGTATTGTACATAGATATGCTTAATTGTATTTACTGTGTATTACGACTCGCGTACAAAAAGTGCGGTGTCCCGTAGCTTGATCGCTGGCTCACTCAGCTCACACACTCAGGTACGGAGTGTGTGAACATTAAAGGGCGTGTTTCAATCAGACACCTGCTGTCCCTGTTCACCAGTCAGTATAAAATGGGGACCTGGGTCTATATGGTAACAACATTACCCCTGGTATGTGGCACTGTGTGTGATTCCATATTTTTAGTTAAAAAAAAAGACACTTCCACTTTGTTGAATCACTGTCCATGAGTCGTTTTCACAACAATTTAGCTTCCACTATGTATCAGTATCCTGGTCGTTTCATTATATGTGATACCTCAAACATTTGTGTGTATGGGTGTTTGTGGGAGAAAAATCAGGATGAGTATTAGGGTTGAAAACAGAAGATATTGCCAGAATCACTCAGGGATATGTTTAAAAGACAATATTCAAAATAAAGTTGTTAGTAAAGGCAAAGCAATTGATCAACAAAAAGAAGAGATACAGTAGAGGACAACGAGCGACTATTTCCCTGAAGATTTACTATACAAATAGTAGGAGTCTAAGAAATATGATAGATGAACTAAGATTACTTGAAAGTGCATGCAATGTAGATATATTGCTATAACAAAGATCTGGTTCAACATGAAAGATAAAGAAATGTCTTCTGATTGCAACATACAGGGTTATAAACTATTCCACGCTGATAGGGTCAACAGGAAGGTTGGTGGAGTAGCGATGTGTCAGAGAAAATTTAAATTGTTGTGTTAGACAATGATATAAGAATAGAAACGTCAACACAAAATCTGTTTGGCTACAGTTTCTTGAGGATCGTGAAAAATTAATTCTGGGTGTGATTTATAGGCCCCCAAGCTTTGATAGGAGTGCAGCAAGTTCTTACGGGACAAAATTCATAAGGCGTCTAGATATGAACATGTTGTGTTAAAGGGAGATTTTTTAACTTTAGATTGATTGAACAATGTGACAGGAAATCTTGAGTCTAGTGACTTTTTTGATACGGCTCAGGATTGCTTTTTAAAACAGTTTGTGACAAGAATCAACTAGAGGAAACAATTCGCTGACTTGGTTCTTGCCAACAAAGAAATAACTGATTAATTATCTTGAGGTTAATGATGACTTGGGGAAAGTGATTATAAATCACTTGTTTCAATATATCGTGGAATTAACCAGATAACTGCAATCAAATCTCTGTCCCAGACTTTCGCTTGGCCGATTTCATGGGAATGAAAAATTACCTGGGTGGGCTAAATTGGGTTGACCTGACTTGGTTTAGGTAGGGTTGTTGGTTGCCAATATGACGTTGTTCAGAGCATAGTTCTAGCTGCCCAGACAACTTTTGTTCCGAGTAGGGAAATTTAGATGTAACAAAAATTATTCTAAAATGGATGAAAAATAGAAAAAAAACATCTCATTGGCAAAAGAGAGGCATATTAGGCATATCATAAGAGGGGATGAGCAATTAAGAAATCATTTTCAATTAAAGAGAGAAACAGAATAAGGAATAAGAAAAGCAAAAAGGATTATGAGGCTGAGATCAAAAGGGATTTGAAGATAAACCCAAAAGGGTTCTTTCAGGTATTCAGAAGCAAGATTAGGGACAAGATAGGCCCAATTAAGAGTAACTCAGGTCAGATCACTGACAATGATAAGGATATGTGTGAAATTTTCAATGCTTACTTCCTCTCAGTTTTTTTCCAGAAAGATACTAGCGAAATTCCAGAAATAATAAATTATGTAGAACAGACGATAATAAACTATGCATGATTGAGGTAATTAGTGAATATGTTTCCTTAGAAAAATAGAGAATCTAAAACCTAAAAAATCCGCAGGCCATGAAGAATTGCTTGCAAGAATTTTAAAGGAATGTAAAGAGAAACTTAGCAAACCTTTGGGCTAATCTTTTCAACATAACACTACAAACTGGCATAGGGGCCTGATAAGTGGAAAATGGCAAATGTAATACCTATTTACAAGGCAGGTGACAGGTCCTTATTTTTCGATCTATAGACCAATAACCCTTATCTCCACAGTGGGAAATTTATGGAATCAATAATTGACGAAACAATTCGTAGCTTTTCTTGAAACACATAAATTAATTAATGAATCTCAACACTGTTTTCAATGGTGCGTTCCTGTCTTACGAATTTACTAACTTTTTTTGCTAAGGTTTTTGGGGAAAGGTAGATCAGGGTAATGAATATATATGTTTATATGATATTGTTTATATGATATTGTTTATATGATATTGTGTATAATATTGTGTATATGATATTGTGTATATGAATATTGTTTAATATTGATATTGTGTATAATGGATTTCAGTAAGGCTTTCGATAGAGTTCCACACCAGAGGCTATTGAGGAAACTTAAGGCGCACGGAATGCGAGGAGAAAATTTTCC